TTCAGTTCACTGTGCTGCTGCACATCCTCTGGAGTCTGGTTCTCCTTGTTATCATCCATGGTCAGATCCAAGGAATCCAGCATATCTACACAACGTCCACCACAAACACAGGTTTACAACTGCCCTAACATGATTTTGTTATTATAATATTTAATGGTAGTTGTCAAATAAACTATCAGACAACGTTCTGAATGAACCTTCAGTTGCTGGACAACCTGCGGACTGTTTGCCGTCGTTTTCCATCAGGTCTGCGTGATAAGCCAGGTCGTGAGCATCTGTGTCTCCAAACCCCGTGTCAGGACTGCTGGTTGGATCGTCGTCCAGGAGAGGAGGAGCCGAGTGGCAGGCCTCACGACGGCTCATCTCCAGCACTGCTGCCAGCATTTCGTCATCATTAATGCCATTGAACTCAGCTGACTCTATGGCGCCCCCACGCTGCAAACAAAAGAATGTCATAAGAGAGCAGCAGAGGGAAAGGAGAAAAAAAAAAGAAAATAAGAAAGAAAAGGAGTGTGGATCTGAACTTCATGGAGCAGCAGATTACGTAATACCTCTTCATGTTGTTCCTTCTCAGGCAGACAGCTGCTGAGGCGCCGCCTGTGGCCAGAGTTGACCCTTCGGTGTGGTTCGTCCTCGTTGTCTGTGTCCATAGAGGTGGAGCTGCAGCTGGAGTTGGACTCTTTACCTTCACTCCTTCTACAAACAGAACGATGTTTAAACATGAAGCAGCCTGGTCTGGAAACATGTGTCTGTTGATGTGTCAGTGTCCATGTGCTGCGGACTCTTACCGGACAGGTGATGTGCAGGAGTTAACAGTTTGCGATGTGTCAAGTGTTCTTGACCTTAAAAACATTAAAGTCAAAGTTATTAACCTTTTAAAGTAATTAATTCATTAACTATTTTCTATGATACATTGGTTGACAGTTGATAATAGGGCTGTCCCTTGAACTGAAATACTACTCTGCTAATATGAGCCCCTGATCATTAAAAAACATTAATAAAATGAGCTGCGATGACTTTCACATACATTCCCCCCGACCAACCGATATTATCGGACATCATAGCAGTTGATAATATTAAATATTTAAGCATCCAACAGTTAAAGCTTTACTTGCACTCACACCTCTTCACTTTCCTCAAAACTACCCATGTTCAAATTCATATATTCATTCACTGTCAGTGTGGTGCGTTCAGTGTCTTACACAGAGGCCTGTTGAGAACTCCAGCCCAGACCGAGAGGAGGTCGTGTGGATTCAGTGCAGTGTGACAGCAGAGTAAGGTAACGGGGGATCACCACCTGCTGGCCCAGCTTGCTGTTCAGAGACAGCTGAGCATTAAAGCTGTATCGTTTGAGGTGGAGGATGAGGACTCTGTGGAGAGGGAGGGGGGAGAGAGATCATAAATATATTGTCGTGCCTATAGTATCACAGTATATCGCAATATATCGTATTGTTGTGCCAGTATCGTGATACGTATCCTATCGCCAGATTCTTGTCAGTCGTCGACAGACTGTGTGCCTTTTCACAGTGAAAGTGTGTTCGTACCTGGGCAGTTTGCTGAATTTATGTGTAACAGTTGCTGCTTTTCCGTTGCACTTTTCACACGAGTATTCAATTTCCTCCATCTGTAAAAGAAAACAGGAAGCAACTACATCAACAGATACAAAAATAAAAAAAAATCTAGAGAATGGCCTTTCTTTCATTCATTCTTTGATGAATGTTACACTGTGGTCATGAAATAGTAAAGACTCACCCTGAAAAAGAGATCCAGAGAATCTTGGACGGAGCGAATCGGGAGAGTTTTTTTCCTGCGTGGCAGGTCGATGGATAAGTTGTTGAACTGCTCTCGCTTTGTCACCACCTCGCCGCAGCTGTTAACGACAACGTACGCATACATATCACACGTCCTTAATTGAAACCCTGCAATTTAGGCTGGTAGATAGATGTTAAGAGTTCCAGATCAGTTGGTAAGTTTTGTTCTTACCCTTTGCAAACAATGGTGTGCTGCACCTCAAACTCCATGTTAACAGCCACAGGGCAGGTGTAGATGCGGGTAATGTCTGCCTCTTCGCCCGGCTCTGTCGTAGATTCGTGGCCACTCTCGCAGGATGATGATAACGTTGACAAAGACGTTGACGCTTCGTTCTTGTTCATTTTCTCTATGTCGTCCTTCAACTGGTCCAAACACTGGCTTAGGAACTCGTGAGCATCCTGTCCATTAGGGATGAAATCAGTCCGATATTAGCATAAATATGTAATATCTGTAAGAATCATTATTGTTTTTTTCCCCTCCAATAATGAAAACCCAATAACACAGTTCCAGGTTTTGTCAAATAATGTGTGACCTAAAAATAGTTTTGGGAATAAACAGCTGTAAGTGAAAGTCACTAGATGGCAGCATTGCAGCTCATTTTATTAATCGATTTTAATAATCAGGGGATTTTATGTGGAATGCTGGTGCCAGCAACTACAGTGGTTTGTATTGATAAATAAATATTACCGGACCTTTTATCAGTATTGGTTGATATCGTAATCAGAAATACACAAAACAAGAGAAGCCACTTTGGCAGAAGGAAAACGTGATTCAACATCATAAAATCATGTCCTACATTTTGCATGTTTCCAGAGAATCGCTCGGCGGTGGAGGAGATGGCACTTTTCACTTTTCTCAAAAGATCCTTTTTTATCTCTGGACAGCCGACGTCCTTCTTGACCATGAGGTGAGCAAAACGTCTGCAGGGAGAGTGAGAGGAACAAAAATAAATATGACATTAAAGAAATTTTATATTCAACATTATATTCTTATATACTTAGAAAAATATACTAAAATATAAATGTAGTACCTTAGCAATGCGTTAATGGGCACCTTCTTCCACGGGATGCTCTGCCTCAGCATGTCATTGGAGAAGGAGGGCAGACTGAAGAGAGACTGCAGGATGGCGTTCATGTAGCAGGTGTTGCCCAAGTTAGAAAATCTGTGCGGGAGGGGGTTGACATTGAACTGCGTGTTATTGGGCAGGTATGATCCGTTAATCATCCGTTTATGTGTTATTGGGCAGGTATGATCCGTTAACAAGAAAACACATCCTAAAAACAGTAAAGTTGTTCATCGTTACCCTTGAAGGAGGGGCTGAGGCTGAGCCAGGGTCGAGGGTCTCTGTTTGTTCCAGCCGCCGTAGTCCACAGACAGACGGACCTTCTTGAACGGAGTGGAGTGATTGGGCATCATGAGGCTTCTCTTGGCCGCAGTGGTCTGGGTGGTGGTGGATGGTCTGGGGAGATTTCAAAGGTATGAAGTCACAGTGACTGGCTCTAGGACCGAGAGGCCGCAGCTTCAAAGGAAGTCAAAACTACCTGTCCAGAAAAGAGTGGCTCTGGCCATAGTCTTTAGTTACAGATCTGCCGTAGAATGACGAAGGCTGTAGTGGAGTTGAACTTCCTGGAGCTGTGAATAAAAACAAACATTAAAATAAATAAATAAATGTGTTTAACACAGCTAAAACATATGCATAAACAGAACTCTACTGATAAGTCATCAAACAAGCCAATACAATGTCCTTGATGGAAGCAACTGAGGACAAAACAGGCCACTTGTTCACTAGATGGCAGTGCTGCTCAGCAGTGGACTTTGAGTTCACCTGAGGTTCTGTTCTCCTCGCTCTGCTTCAGCTTCTCTTTGCAGCTGTGCAGAAATTTTCTGGATGGATCTGAAGTTGCCTTGTTGTTGCTAAAAACAAGAATCGATATTTTAGTATTTACAACAAAATACATTTCAGGATTAAACCACTTCGATTACAATGATTAAAAAAACAAAAACAAAACAGAAGTGCATGGATAAACCTCAAGCAACACTGGACCTAACAGTCAATAACAGCGAGGTGTTGACATCTACCTTGAAGAGTCATTCTCCTTTGGGTAGTCCTCACTCAGGTCACTTTCAGAATTCACGAGTCTCTTTCTTTTTTCACTTCTGAAGAACAAGTGAGAACAACAGTAAAAAAAAATGTTATGTGACATTTAGGACAAACATGACTAAGGCCATTCAAGGTTATAAGTAACAATAACCGTAACTCTACAGGATAAAATGAAGATTAATTAAAATTAGGGATGTCAGATAATATTGACTGACCGACATTATCAGCCTGATATTAGCATAATTATGTAAAATCTGTAAGAATATTTTTCCAACAATAATGAAAACCCAATAAGGCAATGCCTGGGCTTCACCAAGTAATGTGACTGAATAAAGGCTGTATATGAAAGTGAAAGTCACTAGATGGCAGCATTGCAGCTCATTTTATTAATCTATTTTAATACTCTGGGGATTGTATGCAGAATTGTGTGCAATATCAACATATCAGCAAAACGTTTTAAAAATTGATTTTTGTTTTAGAATAAAATTAATTACATCTGCTGTCAAGACACATTTAACATGGACAAATTAATAACAAATAGCAACCTAATAATACACTTAACTCACAATACAAGTCACAATTGTTTTTATTCACAACATGATTACATCACTGTACCTGTTCTCAGACAGTCCAGTGCGAGTGGGAGTGACAGCTGCTCTACTCGGACTGCCCAGCGGTCTTCTTGGTGTTGCGTCCTCTCGGCCTTCTGGATTCTGTCGCTTTGGTGCAGCCTAAGATTGATGGTTAAAATTAGAACAGCTCATTAATAATGGATATTTCCTAAAATACACGTATTCCGTGGTCAATCCCAAACTGGTGCTGATACTCACCGTTCTCTCTCTCGTTGGACTGGTCTCGTTTCTAACAGAGCGGTTTCCGAGCACGCTGAAGTTTGCACTTCCATGAGATGATTTCAGAACTACAAAAGAAAAAGTAACACTTACTGCAAACAGTTGCTGCCATGTCATGGCCTGAAAGTAGCAAGACAACTTTTAGCTGATATTATAGCTAAAATATAGACTCAAAATAAGTTTTATTTTGTAACAGGGTCTTCAATGTTACATTGTTACAGTAGATTGACTCCTTCTGGTGTGTGTGTGTATGTCCAGATAAGGTTTTACTTACTTGGCTTTCCATACTTGAGCTTATCCAGACAGTCTCTTGTCTTCTGGAGCAAACTTGGCGACATCTTATCAAGAATGATGACACAGTGGTCCTTCAGAATCAGCATTAATCGGCCCACATTCTGGTTAACTGCTTTCACATTCTGGGTGAGCTGAGATCAAGAAAACAAGATCAAAACAATTACACTTACATCTTGTAAAATAACTTTTTTTAAAGTTTAGTTATAGCTAATTCATTCATAAAAACATTATATAAAATATATTGTAGTAAGTATTAATCCTACAAATACTGCAACACTTTACTGCTCCATCAGAGTATTAAAAGAATACTCATCAGGTATTGAACATTACCTGGAAAGTTCTTGAAGCACCACTACAGAACCTTAGACACAGGTTGACTTTGTTGTCCTTTTCCAAAATCTCAAAGGTTCCTTCTTTCCATTTGGTGGTGCCCGTTTCAATGCTGTTCAAGCGGATCTTTACAGAAACACCGCTGCAAAGCTTGGGCAATATGGATGTTGCCATTGCTTAATATCCAGTCGGTGCACTGTGGTGGTAGGAACTTGTGATAAAACAAATCCTAAACAAAAAGAACTTTGTTTACTTCTTTGGTCTGGACATTTATCTTAAGCCTATTTTATTTAGGGCTTATTTTTTGTTATAAACAACCACAGGTATTAGGAGAGACACAATTATTTATGAACTCACAGTATTTGAGCAACCAAACAATCAGAACTACTAATCAGTGACCGATACAGACTTAAATCACTTAAACCATATACACAACCAAACAAAAAAGCAAGGACGAAGAAAAAAAAAAGCTTCATCCAACGAGTGAGGAATAAACTGTTCAGTGAAATTATAGATATTTCGCCTGTTGTGTACAGTGTTATTTATACGTCTACATAGATCAGTGTTGACAAGACCAGCGCTGCTTTGTACCACGGAGCTCCCGCTTGTCACTCACTGGTTAAACATTCTTGTATACCAACATCATCGCAACACCACTATGATCTGTTTCAAATTAAAAAAACAAGTTAATTTGTTAAGTTAAATAGGAGGAGAACTAATGAACGTTATCATTCTCCCACTTACAAATATGACAATGAACCATTCATCGGTGTCTCACGTTTAACGTTTGACCAAAGGGTCGCTAAAAAAAAAAACAACAAACCCTCGGACAGCTATAAAAACACAAATGCTAACTTTAAAATGTAAATGACAATACGAGCACAATAGTATCAAAGCCCTAAATATATTTCATTTGAGTTAAACAACTTAGTTTGACAACGAAGCGCTACTCTTGTTAGCCGATTAACGGTACGTTAAACATTGTTGTTAGCCCGTGTTTGCATTAGCCGAAAATTAGCCCAAAGAACAGGACTGCACCGGTGTTTTGTTGGGTCAAATAAAAACAACATTCGTTGCCAAAGGGAAATAGTCAAAACACGTCAAAGCAAACAAAGCTGGAACCAGTCAACAAGGGTGCCAATAGTGTGCGATTCGGTAATGTCGTCTCCTCTTCTACATGCACTGAATGGATGCGTCAGGCCCACATTAGCGCGTCAGCTAACAGCCACAAGCTAACTGGCTAATTTGCCTGTAATTTGGTGATGAAACATATCATTGCTTGATAATTTAACTTCCTTTATTTACCTGTAGTTGAGACGTGCACTCCTCGAAACTTTCAAATGACAGCAAATGTTTCTTAGGTCCTTCAGGGGCAGAAAGTTAGTTTAACCGGCATTTACCTGCCCGCTATTCTTGCGATGTTGACAGTAGCGCCGCACACTAACCCTCGCACCGCTGCAGGATGATGGCGGGAATGTGAATTTTACGACGGAAATGTTAAGCGAGCGTACCCTGACTTGTTATCGCGAGACTTTGTCACACACGTACAAGGCTTCTGTGTTGCTAATCAAACCGCAACTGTTTTATTTTTCGTTTGATAACTTTTAGATTTGAGCTCAAGCAAACTTAATTTAAAAAAAGACTTAGATAAGTACACAATATTATTATCATTTCGTTACTCTCCTGTTTAAATGGATATATGCGGTCTTGCACGGGCGGTTGTTCCGGAATTTGTCAAGACATTTAGCAGCTAGCTTGAGTTAGCGGTGTGTTTATAGGTTTGTTAGTTAAGCTTTTTCGGTGTTTCTAGTTCCATTTATACTTAAAAGACAACAAAACAAAATCGAACTTCAGAGGATGCTGGCAACAGGAGCCGTAAGTGCCTTCTATTTTGTGCTACGTATCATTGCATTGTTAACGTACAACTCTCTTTGTGAAGTTAACATTTGTGAGCTTCGGTTATTATGGTTTAATTGTTAAATTACTTAATTTTGTTATCCCGACAGACTGATATGCATCTTTGGAAAATTTTATAGTCATAATTTTGAATATGTGTTTAGACATAATTGAAATAATGTACTTGTTCAAATATATGTTTACTATTGTCTAAGTGTATTGGTCATCCACTGCAGGATAACAAGTAAACACTAGGAAAAAACTTTTATGCCGCAACATAATACCGATTGTCCAACGTGCTGTTGGACAATCGGTATAAAACCGAAAAGATTGTCCACCTTTCGAAAAAAAACACAAAATTTTGTATAAACTTTATACTACATGTTTTTAATACGATTACGCTACATGGAGGATGTTGAGTTTTTAAATCGAGCCTGAAAGTGTTGGCTTAGAGTTAGCTTAGTCTTGATAAAAAAGGACTTGTGCACAATCTCAAAATACCCAAAAAACAAAACAAAACCACAATGTCATCGTTGTAAAATTTAAACAATCTTTCGACCGTGTTAAATAGATCTAAATCAATAGGACTGTGGTGCCTCCCACCTGTATCAACTTAGAAAATACACAATGATTTTTAATATCTCAAGAAATTGGTTCTAAAACAATGGTATTTGTTGAGGATCTGGCTACACAGCATGATTTGTTTAAATGAATGAATTCAAGTAGTTGTCATGCTACTTCATTTCACGTGTGTGTACATTTACTTGCTCTCTCTTCTCTCTCTCTCTCTCTCTCTCTCTCAAAGGCTGTGACTAATGTCACGGCCCTGGCCCAGGTGGACAGGGAGAAGATCTACCAGTGGATCAATGAATTGTCAAGTCCAGAAACCAGAGAGAACGCCTTGTTGGAACTTAGCAAGAAACGTGAATCAGTGCCAGACCTTGCTCCGATGCTCTGGCACTCCTGTGGAACTATTGCTGCGTTGTTGCAGGTAAAAGGCCTTGGTAACTTTCATTACTGTGATTATATCTGTATATTTCCATGTATTTGATATATATATATTTACTGATTTCTCTCATCTGATACATTTAAATAGGAAATAGTGAATATCTACCCATCCATAAATCCACCCACACTGACAGCTCACCAGTCTAATAGAGTGTGTAACGCCCTGGCACTTCTGCAGTGTGTTGCTTCACATCCCGAGACACGGTAATGAGACCTTTGTTAAAAATGTTGTGAAATTAATTATTATTTCCATTAGAAGTTCTGGTTCAAAAATATTCATTTTCAATGTGTCCCTCTGTAGGTCAGCCTTTCTTGCTGCTCACATTCCTCTCTTCCTGTATCCTTTTCTCCACACCGTGAGCAAAACACGGCCTTTTGAGTATCTGCGACTCACCAGCCTGGGGGTCATCGGTAAACCTGCTGAAGCTTTTTTTTATAATTCACCACATCGGCTACTTCATATATTACACTGTGTTCTCAGTGACTTTGACTAATGGTGAGGTTTGTGTTCTTCGTTGTCGTCAGGTGCCTTGGTGAAAACAGATGAACAAGAAGTGATCAACTTCCTTCTCACTACTGAAATCATCCCACTGTGTCTCCGTATCATGGAGTCAGGCAGTGAACTATCAAAGACGGTACTACAATTAAATTGTTAATAAAAACTCATTATATCGTTCTGCCTATAGTATCACAATATATCATGTTGTTGCCCTTGTATGTGATTTCATATCAGCAGATTCTTGCTGATACACTGATATAATGTTATTTTGACATTGGTGTGTGGACCTCTAGGTCAGATTATATGGCTCATTTGTCACCCATAAATAACTCACACTTTTTTTTTGTTTCCTGTGATTCAATCAACATGTTGGTTCATCCATCCTGACGTTGTTTTGTTTTTTTGTGTGACAGGTTGCTACTTTCATTCTTCAGAAGATTCTCTTGGATGACACGGGGCTGGCCTACATTTGTCAGACCTATGAACGTTTCTCCCACGTGGCGATGATACTCGTGAGTTTCTCCGGGAGGAAAATAGAATTCAGTTAGATTGAAATCTTCTCTCCATTTTCTGTTCCTCATCAGTGGAATTCAGTTTTCACTTTGGTCACAATTTGGTCACCGGGATTGAGATCCAGTTTTTTTTTTCACAGGGCAAAATGGTGTTACAGCTCTCCAAAGAACCCTCGGCACGTCTGCTGAAGCATGTGGTTCGATGCTACCTGCGTCTGTCAGATAATCTCAGGTATAGCAGAACCTGCGTCTGTCAGATAATCTCAGGTAAAGCAGTTACAGAATAAAACGCTGTATATCGCAATATATATCGTAACGTTGCCCCTCGTATCATGATGCGTATTCCCAGATTCTTGCCAATACACACCCTAAAATCACCATCTATACAGTTTTTGTTATTTATATTTGATGAGATATTTGTGAGTGGTGAAGTCCCTGTCGCTCCTTAAAATAAAAGCTCCTCATAAAGCCAGAGATGTGTCATCAAACTATGTTTTACAGCAGTCAACAGTGTTGGTGTTTTTATTAAATTTGGACAAATAATATACATAAACAGAACAGAAACCAACCAACACAGAAGGAATACACCTGGATTTGTCTTTGTTTATTAATTTTAAATCAATGATTCCGATATGTAAAGCTCTATTTGCATTTCCAGAAGCAGTGATTGGCAAAAAAAAATGAATGTTTTTGTGTCTTTTCCTGCAGAGCCAGAGAAGCCCTGCGTCAGTGTCTGCCAGATCAGCTGAAGGACAGCACCTTCGCCCAGGTGCTGAAGGACGACGCCACCACCAAGCGCTGGCTGGCCCAGCTGGTCAAGAACCTGCAGGAAGGTCAAGTCACCGATGCCAGAGGCATCCCGCTGGCTCCGCAGTGAACCGGCTGCCGAGAGTCTACACAAACGGACTGGGCACAAGTCTCAGAGTCTGCGTTTTGATTTTTTTTTTCCAATGTAGTTCTGTATTCAAAGTAAAGACATTTGATGAGATAGAGGTTTTGCTTTTGAGCAGATTTGTATCTACAGGTTTTGGTTCCCGTTATATCAAGTCCACATGAGACTACAGTGAAAACTAGAAACATGTTCTAGATGGATAGAATTCTCAAAGAAGCACTGAAATCAGCAATAAAAAAATTTCCAATTTTTCTTTTTTTCAAAAGAGCCTTAAAATTTGATGTTTAAGTCAGAAGTTTACAGAAAGATTCATCAGTCCTTTATTGCTTCTTTATTGTCTTTTGGTTCCATTGTTTGCTCTAAAATTACAAAGGAACTTATTACTGGATTGAAATAGATTAAAAAAAAAACCTCCATGAACATTCGGTCCCTGAAACATTTAACTGCACTTGTCAACGTGATAATCCAATTCAAACATCACTTCAGTGAAACTCATGTCATGTTTGTTGTTTGTTTGATATAGTCAGGCTCTTCGTACCAAACCGTCGATACTGCATCTCTGATAATATCAAAGAGTTATTCGTGGTTTGTTTTGTTTATTTCTGTTTGTTGTTTGTTTGATATAGTCAGGTTCTTTGTACCAAACCTTCGATACTGCATCTCTGATTTAACATCAAAGAGTTGTTCATGGTTTGTTTTGTTTATTTTGTGGTTAGTTCATGGACCAGTAAACTTATAGTTACTCTGGAAATACTGTGGCACTGCAGCTACTGTACGTTCTCCAACATCTGCAGGCGTTTCACCAGGACATGATGGTCTTTGACCGCTCACCTGCCCGGTGGACTCGATGAGAGTCCAACTCTAGTTACCGAGTTTTTTTTTTTTTAAATAAATATCTTGATTTTTTTTTTAAGAATTTCCAAATAAATGTGAGAAGGTTCAGAGAGTTCTAATCTTTCAGCTGCTCCCTCCAGCTCCAGCTGTGTAACTTCATGGGTAACCTAGTGGAGACTGTTGTTACTCAGGATGGCCTTGAACAGTGGAGCCGACCCTGACGCGCTCTCAGTGAGTGCTCCGTCTAACAGCTCCCATTTCCTTCTCCTGCTTCATTAATGGAACGCCGCTCCCACAGGTTCCATTATCGTCACGGTGATCCAGGCAGAATCTGTGCACATCAACAAATGCCTTCACTCAAAGCCTCCATTTAGGAGAAAATCTGATTCCTGTGAGAGATGATTCCAGAGCAGAGTGTGTTTTTATTTCTTTATCTGTGTTTATGAGGAGAGAGCAGCAGCAGTAACAGCAGCAGCAGTTACAGCAGCACTGGGCCCTGGGTTCGGCACGCTGTGCTAATGGCGTCCACTCTCCAGACTAGAAAACGATTTCCGTCTTTATGATGCTGCTTCAGATTCATGAGTGCCTTCTGTCAGGTATTGATATCCACTCATTGTTTTATTTGAATCTTTAAAGTAATTCAAAGTAAAATGAAATATTAATGGCTGTTTCTAAAAGTGTTCCCTGTTGCTGGAACCATGAAGAAGAAGAAGAAGAGGAGGAGGAGGAACAAGAAGAATTCAGCAAATTGTCTTTAAGTTTTTTTTTCATTTAGGGCTTACTTTTCTGGAGTTTCGGAGTAATATTCACTGTCAGAGAGAGAGAGTACTGTTTTTATAATGAAGGGCATTTGTATGCGGTTAGTTCCCTTGCCTTACAGTAAGGAGGTCAGCGGTTCGATCCCTGGATCTGAACATTTTTCTGTCCAGTATTCTCATATACTCCGACAATCCAAAAAACACGCAGTCTAGGTTAACCATAGTGTGAATGTGTTAATATTTGTCTCTTTTAACTGGAAGAAAAGGAACGGAGACACAGCCCGCAGCAACCTTCAGACAGGGAGGCAACGTCCGCCTCACGGAGCTCACAGGCTGCAGCTAGAAAGGAAGGGAGGGAGGAAGGAAGGCATGCAGGGAAAGGGGAGGAAAGAAATTGCCAGTGTGTGGCAGCAACGACTAGGGAATCGGATTTCTTATTGCCAGAAACTGGAGTGAAGGGGACGGGAAAAAGGGGAGGAGAGTGACTGAGTCTGACTCAGCTAACAGTCTCTGCTCTTCATTTGGTTTAGACCTCTGAGTACAGGCAGCCCAGCCCTGGCAGCACGGCCGTCTTCTGTATAGTGTGTAGACCCCAATCCAGAAAGGATCCCACCAACCCCAGTGAAGTGTCCTCTGTGGGTGAGTTCTGGTCAGCCAGCAAAAATCTAATTACCTTCATTTTCGCTCTGCTGAAGTGATGCTTTCATTTCTCTTTTCTTTTTCTCAACACACACACACACACATACATCCCAGCAGTGTTGTTTACCAATGGATTTAAAACATAACTTCTTTGTTCCTCCTGCTCCTGTTTTCTTCCTTGTCTTCTTCTTCTTCTTCTTCTTCTTGTTTTGTCCCCATTGAGTCACATCTCTGTGTATGTGTGTGTGACCAGTGATGGTTCTCTGTGACTCAGCCCTGTTCCAAACACTTCAGCTGTGCTCCCGTAAAACAACACAACCTCACCTCCTCAGAGCAGAGGGAGAGTTTGTTCAACTTTCAGAAATTCTTTTAAAAAACGTCTGAATGGAAGAAATAAAAAAACACGACTGAGCCTCGAACACAACACGGCCGCTCAGAAAAATCTGTGGAAAATAAGTCTCACTCCAACGGCTAATATAACCAACGGCGATATTAAATAGTCCAGTGACTGCGAGAGGGTTTTTACAACCACATGTCAGTTTGTTGCCTGATCTGTGGGAAGGGGTGAGGAGGGTGAGGCACGGCGGTAGTGAGACAACGCAGAGATTAGTTTGGAGTTGGACAGTCTTGTTGTTTCAGGAGACGGTGGAAGGAAGAGAAAAACCTGACCCTCCCTAAAGAGTTCCTACAGAGTTTAAACCTGGTTTAATGAGACAATGGTGGTCGTCCACTGAGCCACCGAACCACCGATTTTATTCTCTCACACTAATTAACCACAGGATCTGGTTGTTTATCGGGTCAGTGTAAACAAGCGACGAACTGTTTACGTTCGGTTTTCTCTGAACTGTCATTAAATTCACAAAGGGTTTGATTGATGTTTCTTTGACTAATGTCCAGTTGTTGGACATTTAAAGGTTCCGCATGGTCCAAAAGAGTGAATCTGATGGAACAGTGTATCTCAGGGATTAGCCAACCCCTGGTCCGGGGACCAAGACTGGTCCGTGAGTTGATATCGGGCCACAGTGGGACACAGTGGAAAAAATGTACTTCAGTATTTACTAATTGTCTTCATTCTATAAGAATCCAGTCAGATAATCTGTCAATGTTTCAAAACAACAGGTCAAAGGTCATTCGGACTCTGATACTAACAGAATGAAGTCTGAAAGACGATTACCGGTTCGCGGTAACGGCTAGTACCGGCCCGCCGGTCCTCGGTACAAGAACGGTTGTGGACCGCTGACCCAGCTGATCCGTTCCTCTGACCTCTGCACACTTACTTTCGTTCTAACTCACAGCAGAAACAGAAAGCAGAGTGTTAGCAGATCTGTTTGTTTTTTGAGAGTGATGACGGTGAAAATTTGACGCTTTGACTTCTCTATATAAACGCTCAGACTGTGGAGAAGCTCGACATTCGTTACATCTTCACTTAAGACTCTGCTTCGTTACGAGTTGCGTCTGCAGTCAGTAACAGGTGACGAGGCGGCGGAAAAGGTTTATTTATGAAATTCAATTGATGTGAAAAAAAAAGAGGAGGAAAATATTTGAACCACTCACCGATATCTGCTTCTGTTTAGCTCCACACTGTTTTGGCATGATCTGAAGACGGCGATGGAACCCAAATTCTCCCGTGAGTATTTCAGTCCGAGCGCAGGTGCAGACGCTGCGATGGGTTTAATTGAAGAACTGCGGTCGATCCATGGACCGATTTTGTCATCTGTCTCGTGACCAGGTTTCCAAGACGACCCCGACATCAAGGTCATGTTGAAGGGGTCCACTCTGAGAAAGGTCAAGTCTAGTTCATGGAAGAAGCGGCGATTTTTCCGCCTCCTGGAGGACGGGCTGACCCTCTGGTACAGGTCCAGATGGGCCGGCAGACATTCAAGCTGTGAGTGGACCAGAGTTTCAATAATAATTATTGAAGTGATTTGCATCCTCACAAACAAATGTATTAACATTCAAGCTGTGAGTGGACCAGAGTTTACACATGTTTGACTGAGTGTCTGTCGTCTCTAGAGCAGAGCTGATTTTGGTAGAACCTAATTAGATGTTAAGTCCATGTTTTTCACCTTTGTTTTTCATGCAAAGAAGTACAAAAAAATGTCATATTTTTATTGTTATTTATTCATATAATAAAACTTTACAGAAAATATCTTGAATTCATCAAGCGGGCCAGGTCGAACACCATAGTGTGCCGGCTTGGCCCACAGACTGTATGTTTGACACCCCAGGCCTAAAAAAACAAAAATAATAGTAATAATTACTCTCTGAAGTCATTATTGATTGATAGTAATTATTGAAGTGATTTGCATCCTCACAAACAAATGTATTAGATATTTATTATTATGTGCCTGAGAAGAAAGGCATTTGAACCACTGCTATGTAGAGTGGTGGTTCTCAAACTGTGGTACCCACACCAGTGTTGGTACTACTATTTATTGGTTCCCTGGGAAATCTGTTTTTATTTCCACCATGTTGCAGAAAATATAATTAGAAGCCATTCTTTTCTACTTCCTGCTTCACTTGACAAATCTTTGACCCCAGAATATCTATATATTGTTTTGTTTTTTTTTCTTGCCTCTGTGTTAGTTCCCGTCACCGAGTTGGAGGCCGTGCGAGAAGGCCACCAGTCAGAAGTTCTGCAAAGCATTGCTGAGGAGTTTCCTGCGGACCACTGCTTCACCTTGGTGTTCCACGGCCGCCAAGGTAATCTGGACCTCATCGCCGACTCCCCAGACGAGGCCCAGGCCTGGATCCAGGGTGTACGCAAGCTAATTCACAGGTCTAGCACCATGAATGAAAAGGAGAGGCTGGACCAGTATCCTTTGAATTTGAGTTTGTCATTATAATATGTCAAAAGTAGGGATGTCCGATAATTTCCACTGGTCGATATTATCGGTACGATATTAGCATGTTTATGTAATATTTGTAAGAAAGGTAATCGTTTTTTTTCCCCATAGATAATAAAAACAAAAATCAAATGATGACGTGTGATCTAAAAATAGTTTTGGGGAAAAACATCTGTATATGAAAGTGAAAGTCTCTAGATGGCAGCATTGCTCATTTTATTAATCTATTTTAATAATCGTACAATTCATACCGTAGTTTGTGCCCCGCTATATCGGTATAGTTGATTTCGGAATCAGAAATTAAGTATTTGGACATATCGGATATTTGTAAAAACTTAATATCGGACATCCCGTAGTCATAAGTTGTGAATCACGCTTTGAGTGGTGATTTCCTTTAGCGTCCTGTCAGGTGGGTCTGGGACTGGTTTCGGAAAGCTGACAAAAACAAAGATGGAAAGATGGATTTTAAAGAAGTGCGGAAACTGTTGAAGATGATGAATGTAGAAATGAACGAGGAACACGCCCTGCATCTCTTCATGGTACGAGTTTAGTCTGAGGAGTCCAGGAGAATAAAAACAATAATTATAAATATATCTGAAGACTTTCAGCTGAATTAAATTGCTGTTTGGATTAGTGTATTTTTCAAAAAAAAAAATCTGTTTACAGAAAGTATTTTTGGATTTTTGGACCATAAAGCACGTACTAAATGTAGGAGCATACTACCACCTACAGTACTGCAGGGTGTAGTGTCACGGTATGACCAGTGATGTTTTGAAAAAACGCAGTCTGCTCTTTACGCCTTGATGTGCGATTCAATTTATTTATTTCAACTAATGAGAACTGTCTTGGATTTGTATCGATTTTAACCGATTTGCGATCCATCGTTACGTCCTTAATTGTTACACATTAATGCCTGATACTTATTGCTTTTTTTTCACCACTGTCTTGGACCATAAACTAACACAGAGCTGCTTCCTCCTCTGCTCAGATGGCTGATGTGTCCAACTGCGGCTCGCTGGAGATCGAACAGTTTGTCCATTACTACAAGCTGCTGACGCAGAGAGACGAAGTGTTGAAGGTGTTCCAGGACTTCTCCACTGATGGAGAGAGGCTGACGATGGACGAGCTGGAGAACTTCTTGAGGATAGAGCAGCTCAAGGAGGAAGGGAGTTCCCAGTATGCCCGGCAACTAATTGATCGCTATGAGCCGTCAGACTCAGGTGGAGTAGAGAAAACTGTGTGTGTGTCTCCCACGTCGGTTCACTTTTTTTTTACTTAGAACAGATCCATCTGATTCATCGTCTCTGGCTGTAACAACCCGTGCAGTTAATAAGAGTGCAGTGCAATGCATGCTGGGACAGACACTATTGATTTATTCCTCTTTTAAATCCATTAGAGGATTGGAAAAAACGCCAAAGCTTCAGAGTGATTCATAACTCACTGATTTGAAGGACCTTCTTAGACACTATAATACATGCTGCCTTCCACGGGGGAGGGTTTTTCTGGAACCACAGCCGAGTCACGGGATTGGAGCCAGCAACCCGTCCAACACCAACCCATGAGACTTTATTAAAGGGTTTTATTTAATAACTGTACTGTTATTAATAACATTAATATCAGCGTCGTTAACCAAAGGCATAGCCTCAAAAACGTTACTTTGGTTATAAACTGTAAATATTACATTTATTATTATTGTTTAAAATGTTCGCCCCAGTTTAAAAGCTGTGTGAAAACTCAGAACCACAAGATGAGGGTCAAATATGGTTTGACCCATATTGAGGAAAAGAATTCAGAACCACTGCTTTAACTTCCTTAACCACCAGGCCACCACTGCCCCACTGTATCGACATGGTTGATATCGGAATCGGAAATGAAGTGTTAGGACAATCAAAAACTGACTATCAGACATCCCTAGTATTATTAGTTCTAATATTAGAGTTGTAAATAAAACTTCATCACATTTACCACTCCCCGTTCCCAGATGAGGTCATTCAGGAACACATTGTCTTTTTACAATGTGTATTTCCTAAGAAAATATTTCAGAGGAAGTACACATTGTAAAGAGTTTTGTCGAGAAATGTTTCACTGAACCCATTTTAATCTGTCTCTGCTTTGATGAAGGACCATGGACTGAACCGGGCCGGTTCTAAAGTCTGTCTTCTGTCCATGTGTGCAGCTAAGAAACAAGGAGCCATGTCATTGGACGGCTTCCAGATGTACCTGTGCTCCCAGGAGAGCTCCATATTTGACCCAGGGCGCCAGGTTCTCCACCAGGACATGGAGCAGCCGCTCAGCCACTACTTCATCTCCTCCTCCCACAACACCTACCTCCTGGACAACCAGCTGAGTGGACAGAGCAGCCAGGAGGCGTACATCCAGTAAGAATACCAGTTGATGTGTGTGTCTTTGATTGCAGTAGTACTCGCTCCACTACGAAGTAAATATATACCAGGTTAAGATTAATGAATAATAGTAATAATAATGATAACAACTTGAACTTTATTGATCCCATATTTTGAAACATTCCTGTGTTAGCAGCAGATGTGCTGCAACAGGCTGCCCCCTGGAGGCGCCAAGCATGTGGTTCAACAGTGGGCAACAGTGATGGAAATATTTTAGACAAGTTAACACATTGTTGACGTGTGTGTGTGTTTGTGTGTGTGTGCAGGGCCTTGAAGCGCGGCTGTCGCTGTGTGGAAGTGGACGCCTGGGACGGTAGCGACGGCGAACCCATCGTCTACCATGGCCACACGTTGACGTCCAAGATTCTGTTCAAAGACGTCATTTCGACCCTGAAGACTTACGCCTTCACGGTGGGGTCGAATCCACAACTCTTTCATTCATGTCGTTAATGAAATATTTTTTTTGTAGTTAGTTTGTATGCCACCAGTAGAAACAGGAAGTAACAAAAAATCAGAATCAAAAATACGGATATCGACCCCCCCCCCCTCCCCTCTCGGGGAAACCACACTGTATTTGTGGTTCTGGTTCTCTTGGTTCCGCCTCTGACCGCTCTAACGTTTTATGTTTTCACATTCCTTTGTCGGGACATTCCTGTCCTCAGGCTTCAGACTTCCCCGTCATCCTGTCCCTGGAGAATCACTGTGGTGTGGAGCAGCAGACCGTTATGGCCCAGCACCTCAGCCAAATCCTGGGTGACATGTTACTGCGCCACCCGCTGGACGAACAGATGCCTCAGCATCTCCCTTCTCCACAGGTCAGAACCTTTTCCACCACTCAGGGCACGGTGGAAATGATTTATTTTATGCTTGTAAAAACATGTTTTTGTAGGAAATGACAACGGCTCAGAAGTTTGACTCACATTAGAAAAACACCATTTAAATCTAGGGATGTTCGATATGAACTTTTTGCCGATATTGTCCAAACACTTAATTTCTGATTCCGGTATTAACTGATACTCCATGGAGGACTTGGACAGTTAGGGGACAAGACTGGGTCTGGGTCTTACAGTATTTGTTGTGTTTTTTTTTTCTTACAGAAGCTGAAGGGTAAGATTATACTGAAAGCCAAGAAGATGGGTGGTGCCGACGGAGGCCAAGATGGACACCTGATGGACGAAGTCAGTGATGAAGAAGAGCTTGCTGACGGTGATGCTGAGAGTGCGGAGGAGCCACCGTCGAAGAAATGAATGGACGGATGGACAGACGGATGGAGGGATGGATGAACGGAGGGTGATGGATGGGTGGCAGGATGGGTGGATGCATGGATTTACCAGAAAGTTTTTTTTTTGTGTCTCGTCAACATGGACCTACTGTACTTAGTCAAACCAGTGGCTAATGTGGGCGTGAATTGTTGGCTGTGTATGTGACCCTGGGATGGACTGGGTGTGACCCCGCCCCCACCTGTTCACTGCTGGGATTGACTCTGAAAAGGTTCTGTGTTTTCATTCCACAATCTGTTCTTTCATTCTGTAGAAGTCCAACCTTTCCAGGGAGTTGTCAGACCTGGTGGTTTACTGCAGGAGCAAGCAATTCCAGGGCTTTGAACACGCCCGTGACCACGGCACATGTCTGGAGATTTCCTCCTTCTCTGAGTCCAAGGCCAAGAGACACGCTAAGGATAAAGGTCAGCATTCTGTTGTTTAAAAAACAACAAAAAACCTGGTGGTCCATGATGAGTTCTGTGGCCAACGCGCCCTGGACTGGACCTGGACCTGGGCTCTGAGCTCTGGGTACTGTAACAGGATTATATGTTATCAGTGCAACATATTTATTTTATTTATTTGTTGACCTGGGGGCATTTCTTCTGCCCCCTCCCCTCCTGCCCCAGTTGACCTGGGGGCATTTCTTCTGCCCCACTGCCCTCCTCCCCCCTCAGGGACAGATTTCATCCAGTACAACACGAGGCAGCTCAGCAGGATTTACCCCAGTGGTCTCAGGACCGACTCCTCCAACTACAACCCCCAGGACTTGTGGAATGTAGGCTGCCAGATAGGTGAGAGAAACAGTGCCATCTACTGGTTTTACTTAATCAGCTCATCATTTCATTATTGTAGTTACAGTAGTATCAACCATACCCATATAGCGGGTCAGTGGAGGCCTGGTGAAGTGATCACTAAAGTGATGGGTTAAAGCAGTGTTTCTCAATTACTTTCTGCCATGCCCCCCCTAGTGGACAGAAGTTTTTTCACCCTCTCAAATTGAAATACTATTAAGGGATTGGTAATATTTATTTATTTCTCAGTACAGACCACTGTATGAGTTGCTGGCACCAACATTCTGCATACAATCCCCAATTATTAAAATAGATTAATACAATGAGCAATGCTGCCATCTAGTGGCTTTCACCTTCATATACAGCCCTTTTTCCTCAAAACAATTTTTAGGACAAACATCATTTAGCGAAACCCAGGTATTGTGTTATCAGGTTTTCATTATCTGAGGTAAAAACAATAAAAATTCTTACAGATATTACATAATATTGGTCGTCCGATATTATCGGACATTTCTGGTTTTCATTTTCCAACAACACTCCTTAGTTTCAGCACTTCTCTCCGTTTCCTGTAGTGGCTCTGAACTTCCAGACAGCGGGACTGGAGATGGACCTGAACGATGGCCTCTTCAGGCAGAACGGCTCCAGCGGCTTTGTCCTCAAACCGGACTTCCTGCGAGACGGTAACACTCAGTTCAGTCCAGAGAAGCCAGAGGAGCGACCAGGCTACAGACCCCTGCGTTTGTCCATACAGGTCCAAAATACTGACAAACTTTTACGAGGACACTGCAAAGTCTTCAATAGCTGTAAACACTGACCTTTGTGGTCCAGACCTAGAAATATGTTTCCATGGTAACCAGGTGATAAGTGGACAGCAGCTGCCAAAGGTGAACCAGAAGGAGGGCTCCATCGTTGACCCTCTGGTGAGGGTGGAGATCTATGGAGTTCCACAGGACCAGGCCCGAGAGGAGACCAGTCACATCAACAACAATGGTGAGAAAATGTCAAGAAAATCTAGTCTAAAAAACTTTATCGTTAACATTAACTCTAACAGGGAGTCAGTGTTAGCAATTACCGTGTGGACTGAGGTATTATTTAGGGCTCTGGCGATACAATAGTATCGCGACACAGGGGCAAGATAGTGTTATAACGATATATTGAGTTTTTTAAAAACAAAGCAAACACATCGACGATATATTGAGTTTTTTTAAACAAAGCAAACACACAATGTTGTTCCATTTTGGCATCAGGTTTAATATAAAAATAAATGAACCAACACCATGAATAATTGAAAAATCAATACAGTAATGTTGAATATCGATACGGTATCGTGAAACGAAACATTGCGATATTTGAGTGTATTGATATTTTCTTACACTACTGCACACAGTGATCGAGCTACAGCTACAATACAGTTCAGCTACAAATATTCACATGGTCATGGACGTCCTCTGTTGTCGACCCCAACTCACAGGTTTCAACCCCTCGTGGAACGAAACTCTAAACTTCACGGTTCACGCCCCGGAACTGGCGCTGGTTCGTTTCGTGGTGGAGGATTACGACAAGGCGTCCAAGAATGACTTCATCGGACAGTTCACGCTTCCATTCACGTGCATCCAAACAGGTGTGACGCAGGAACCTGCAGAACCTCGAGAACACGGGTGAGAACCTGAGGGCAACTGTCACTCATTCTGTCAAACCTCCTCCCTCCAGGATATCGTCACATACACCTGCTCTCCAAAGACGGAACAGCCATCCCCCCCTCCTCCATCTTTGTCAACGTCAGCATCTCAGAGCGAACCTGAAGATGAAGACGAAGATGAAGAGAACGTCTGCGGTCTGGAGACAATGAGGAAAACCATCGTCGACCACGGGATCTGTCAGCGTTAAAGTCTGCCTGTACTTTCACACTGACAGCAGTGAGTCTGACTCTGTTACCGTACTTTCCTCTGCTGCATGTGTACATAATACTTCTACAAATATACTGTACATCCAGAAAAAAAAAAAAAAATCAAGAGCGACTATTTTTCGGATGTGAAAATACTTTACAGAATCAGTAACAAATAAACTTCAAGTATTACGTCAGTAAATCTGGGGTCATGTGCTCATTTGAAACACCCCAGGGTGTGGGATTCAAACCTGCAACCATCTGAAGAGCCACGATGTTCAAATCTGTACTAGCGCCACCTACAGGTCCAGAGTGAAGTGAATCTACTTGCTCGAAGCTGATGTACAGGTTTGAACAGAAGTGCAGACTTCAACACTGATCAGAATCAATACTTTATTGACTGGTTAATGAGTTTCATTATTGATTGTTGCTGTATTTGAACCTGAGATCAGTGAACCAGCTGCACTCTTCTTCAGTGTTCCAGTACAACAACAATGGACGCATGGACAAGAGGACAGTCAGAGGACTCCACTCTGTCTTTCTCCTCACTTCCACCTTCACTCTGATTCTCTTCAGTTAGCTCAGCTGCTGTACTATAGGTGTCCACCAGGGGTGTCCGATAATATTGGCTGACCGACATTATCCCTCTCCCAGACTCCCCTGCAGGGCCTCCTTCAGGGTCAGACTCATGGCCTCCGTTTGTTTGACCACTCCCTCCTCCACCGACGCCCCCGGGTGGCGTCTGCGCAGATGTTTGACCACCTGGAACTTCTGCCTGGCTCTGTAAGAGCAGTGGCCGCAGCCGAAAGGCTGTTGGTTCGTGTGAGACAGGAAGTGGTGCCTGAGGCCCGCGGGCCATCGGAAGGCCTTGGGACACAGGCCGCAGGTGTAGAGGCGAGCGTCGCTGTGCTGCCGCTGGTGTGTGTTCAGTATAAATCTGGTTTTGAAGGCTTTGCCGCATTTCTCGCACATGTAGGGTCGAAGGTCACAGTGTTGGGTGTCCCTGTGGGCGCGGAGGGCGTCAGCTCTGTTGGTGCGGTAGTCGCACTCACCACAGGCGTAGGATTTCTCTCCTGCACCACACAGAAACATACTGTCACATATACACCCATACGTAGACGAGTACATACAGATTTACTATGAAGTAATAAACAAATATTACTAATTATTTTAAACATGACACGCAATACAATAATATAATAAAATATCACCAAAAAACATCTGAATTTAGGTTGAGTTTCAATTCTGAGGATTTTTTGACTTTGTATAAAAAACAACTGTGTATTTTTTATTTTTAAATTGAAATCAAGCGAGCCGGTTTTGGCCCCCAGGCCGTATGTTTGACACCCACTGTTTTAAATATTACACATCAGTACCCGTGTGCCTTGTCATGTGGTATTTGAGTTGACTGGACCACTTGCACCTGTAGCCACAGTCTGGACACAGGTATTTCTTCTCCTCCTGGTGAACTCTCAGGTGAAGCTGCAGTGAAAGAAAGGAAACGACCGTTGATAAAAGTTGACGTGCTGTAAATATGTACTTTCATATCCAAGGCCGTCGACCCGACCTCACCTTCAGCCTGGACGGATCAGCGCAGGTGTAGGTGCACAGCCGGCAGCCGTACGGTTTCTCCCCGGTGTGCGTGCGGATGTGCCGCGTCATCTTCTGCCTGTTTCCCGTTGAATACTCACAGTCTCTGCACTTGTACAGCCGACTGCCGTCGTGTGTCTGCAAATGACGCTCCAACACCGGCCTGTGTGGACTGGCAAACGAACACCTGCCGCACGCCAGCATCTCGTCCTCGGGACGACCCTCCTGGTGTTGGTGTTCCAGGTGCAGAGCCAACAGAACCCGACTGTCTCTTTGACAAACTCTTTTCCGACAGGCGGTGACGTGACGCTGAAATGTCGTGGGTCGCAGTGACGTGAAGGAGCACAGTTCACACCGGAATCTTCCATCTGTCCCAGTGAAATGATAACAGACAATAATAATCTGATGTAGAGATGATGATGATGATGATGATGATGTGATTTCTGGCTGATGGAGTTCTTGATCTGTTGGATTTTCAGATCCCTCGTTACCTTTAGAGCAGTTCTCTCCTGCAGTCGGACATTTCTCTGAAAATCCTGGGCTTTGGTTTGGAAGACGTCCATCAAGGCCTTGAGTTTTGACCTGAGCACCGTGGGAATTTAACACAGTCTCATCAGCATCTGTGTCTGGAACTACAAGCACCTGCACCGGTCCATCCAGGACTGAAGCTTCTGTTTGGTCGCTGTCAATATTCGTTATTTTCTGGTTTTGTACACAGGAGAATTCAGGATCTGTATTTGGAGAGAACGTTCTACCCACCAGCTCAGGCGTTTCCTGACTTACAGAGTCAAGGTCACACTCTTCATTGACACTTGTCTCCTCCTCCTCCTCCTCCTCCTCTTCCATCTCCTCAGATAAACATGTTGACCTTGGAAGGTCCTCTTTTCCTTTTAACGTTTCAGAATAAGTGGTTAAAATCAATGTACAGTACTCATCAGAGCTGCCTGTAAGGCTCTCATTGCCGCCCTCTTGTGGCTCATTGTCCAGCGCACCAACAGATTTCGTGTTCTTCGTTTCAGTTTGTTTCCTGAGTTCTGCTGCAGCGGGAGCCTCAGCCCGTTCTCCCTGAGGTCCTCGCTCTCCTTCGGCGGTTTGTTTCAGCCGCTCGGCCGTGAAGGACTTCCTGTAGAAATCACCAGCTTCCTCCGTGGAACTCCGTTCTTTCTCCTTGGCAGCGTACTTCTCCAGCCACCTCTGGTCTCCAGGTACATACCCATGAGCCTTCCTCTTGTGCAGGAACAGACTGACGGTACTGAACGACACGTAGGGACACAGGGCGCAGTGGAACTCCTTCAGCCTGGTGTGTTGGCAGTTCTCGTGATTTCGCAGCGCTTGTCGGTAGCGGGTAGTGTAGGTGCAAAAGGTACACTGATGCACCGGGGGGTGTCCGTCACCTCCGGAGTGTTTGGATGTCATGTGACTGCGAAGTTCGTATTTGCGCTTGCAGGCGAACGCACAGATTTCACAAATGAGCGACTTGGCTTGGTGTCGTAGTTTGTGGCTCTTCAGCTGGTCCGTGCGGTGACAGCGATACGTGCACTGATCACACTGGTGCCTGCAGATGAAAACGAAATTCAGTGATAACTAAGGATGTAATGATAGTTTTTACAGTTTCTTTTTGACATTTTTTTTAATAACTAATGATTCATCAAACTCATCACAACATGTACCTCATGTCTCCTGCGTGTTTCCTCATGTGGACGGTCAGGTAGTGCTTCCATTTGGTGACGTATCCACAGTCGGAGCACATGAAGTTCTTGTCGTCTGAGTGCGTGAGCATGTGTCTGGAGAGGGAGGACTCGTCTCGACACCTGAAGTCACACACACCACATTTGTGGGGCTTCTCACCTTGGAAGGAAAAAACACATTTAGGTGAAACTTGTTATAGCCAATGTAAAAAAGGAGGGATGTTTTTCCCCAAAAGTTTTCATATTTTCAGAGGAATAATAATGATGATGATAAGACATCCCTATAAAAAAGTGAGAAGAACAAGAACGTGTGTCTCACTGTTGTGCGTCAACGTGTGTCTCCTCAAGCTACGTCTGTGAGAGGTGGCGTAGCTGCACTGAGAACAGCGGTGGATCTTCTCGTTGGGGTGACAGCGTCTTACGTGCCGCTCAGACTGTACGGGGTTGAACGTGAAGAAGGAACAGAAGTCACAGCAGAGCTTGTCGGAGCCGGCGTGGCCGCTTCGCTGGTGTCGGAGGAACAGGGCTTTGTTAGAGCAGGAAAACTCACACTGTGAGCAGTGGTAGGCCCGGTGGGTCTGAAAATGAGTGAGCATCTCCGCCTCTGTTTGGAAAACAGCCCCGCAGGCATGGTAGCGACATTCCACCGCCTTGACCTCGGGGTCTTCTCTCTCCTTCGGCGGTTCGTTTCAGCCGCTCGGCCGTGAAGGACTTCCTGTAGAAATCACCAGCTTCCTCCATGGAACTCCGTTCTTTCTCCTTGGCAGCGTACTTCTCCAGCCACCTCTGGTCTCCAGGTACATAACCATGAGCCTTCCTCTTGTGCAGGAACAGACTGACGGTACTGAACGACACGTAGGGACACAGGGCGCAGTGGAACTCCTTCAGCCTGGTGTGTTGGCAGTTCTCGTGATTTCGCAACGCTTGTCGGTAGCGGGTAGTGTAGGTGCAAAAGGTACACTGATGGACCGGGGGGTGTCCGTCACCTCCGGAGTGTTTGGATGTCATGTGACTGCGAAGTTCGTATTTGCGCTTGCAGGCGAACGCACAGATTTCACAAATGAGCGACTTGGCTTGGTGTCGTAGTTTGTGGCTCTTCAGCTGGTCCGTGCGGTGACAGCGATACGTGCACTGATCACACTGGTGCCTGCAGATGAAATACGAAAATCAGTGATAACTAAGGATGTAATGATAGTTTTTACAGTTTCTTTTTGACATTTTTTTTAATAACTAATGATTCATCAAACTCATCACAACATGTACCTCATGTCTCCTGCGTGTTTCCTCATGTGGACGGTCAGGTAGTGCTTCCATTTGGTGACGTATCCACAGTCGGAGCACATGAAGTTCTTGTCGTCTGAGTGCGTGAGCATGTGTCTGGAGAGGGAGGACTCGTCTCGACACCTGAAGTCACACACACCACATTTGTGGGGCTTCTCACCTTGGAAGGAAAAAACACATTTAGGTGAAACTTGTTATAGCCAATGTAAAAAAGGAGGGATGTTTTTCCCCAAAAGTTTTCATATTTTCAGAGGAATAATAATGATGATGATAAGACATCCCTATAAAAAAGTGAGAAGAACAAGAACGTGTGTCTCACTGTTGTGCGTCAACGTGTGTCTCCTCAAGCTACGTCTGTGAGAGGTGGCGTAGCTGCACTGAGAACAGCGGTGGATCTTCTCGTTGGGGTGACAGCGTCTAACGTGCCGCTCAGACTGTACGGGGTTGAACGTGAAGAAGGAACAGAAGTCACAGCAGAGCTTGTCGGAGCCGGCGTGGCCGCTTCGCTGGTGTCGGAGGAACAGGGCTTTGTTAGAGCAGGAAAACTCACACTGTGAGCAGTGGTAGGCCCGGTGGGTCTGAAAATGAGTGAGCATCTCCGCCTCTGTTTGGAAAACAGCTCCGCAGGCATGGTAGCGACATTCCACCGCCTTGACACCGTGGACGTCCAGGATGTGTTTGAGAAGTTCTTTGTGCGATGAAGTCTGGAAAGAACAAGACTCCAGGACGCAGGTCGCCGCGTCGCTGCCTCTTGGAATGTTGTGCGTCTTCATATGAGCTTTTAGTGACTTGCTCTGGTGAAAACGCAGACCACAGCTGGGGCAGGCGTAGGTGTGACGGTTTAAACCTCCCTCTGCTACATCAGAGTCAGCATGTACGCTGATGATGTGCCGACGGATCGCGTTCCTCTCCACTGCTGAGTAATCACACAGGTGACATTTGTGAATCTTTTCACCTGCCTCGCGGAGTCGGTGTACACGAAGCTTACTCCTGCTGGTGAAGACACGTTTACAGGTGGGACACTGCAGACCGGGGTTGGGGGAGTGGAAGTGGACAGGCTCCTGGAGGTGGGACCCCATCCTGAAGCACCAGTGACACGTGGGGCAGGTGTGGCTGTAGTCAGTGTGGCCTACACTGTGGGCAGGATGCTCTAGTGGACAACAACCAGAGAGACAACCGCAGTAAGTAACGTCAACAGTTACCAATGAATCAACCGCAGTAAGTAACGTCAACAGTTAACAACAAACTAACTCTACTGTCTAAAAACGTAACTAAATTCACGCAAACTATTTTGATATAAAATGATTGACAGTAAAGTCAACAGTCTGCAGATTACTATAATAGCAGTACTTTAAATATATACGCAGTTATTAAAGAAACCCCGTTCATTGAACCAGTGCAGTATACTGCAGTAAAACCTAATGTAGCTAACTCCTTAGCTCAGTCCGGTTCTTACGTTTAATTCAACGTCTGCTCCTCAGGATATATGCACACAGTGACGTGTAATATCATGTTGAATGACTTTAAAAAATAATTATCTTTTAAAATAAAAACAGTGCAGCAAGGACCGCACAGTAAACCCGTCATAAACAACCATAATACATGTTATTACCGCAGCTTCATCTTCTTCTCCTGCCGTGACGTCAAAAGTGTCATCAAGATTGTCGCCACACTGACCCCTGCTGATATGCTTGCGAAACTACAGCTTCCTCCGATCTCCTCCCACAGTCCAGAAACATGGAAGAATAAGAATGTTTTTATTTTAATACCATCCATCCATCCATCCATTTTCATCCGCTTATCCGTTACCGGGTCGCGGGGGCAGCAGTCGCCACCCAAATCACATTGCACCGTACCAACCCCCCAAACCTTCCTGCGGGTGGTGAGTCCACTGGAAGCTATTAACCGCCCTAACCGGGATTCGAACTTGTCCAGGAGGTGAACCCTGGTGTTCCACACCAATGACAGAGACATTGCCTCTGGGCCAAAGCGCCACTTTATTTTAATACATTTTACACATTTTATAAAAACATCAACAATTGACCCAGTTACTTAAAACATACTATTAAATGTGGTAAATACAAATAATTAGCATAAGGCTAATCGATTACTCGATCTCGATCTGTGGACCTGTGATGGACTGACGAACTGTCCACGGTCTGACCCTACCTTCACCCGATTTCAGATGAATATGAAGGACTTTTTATTATTTTACTTTTATATATTTCTACTTTTAAAAGGCGTACAGCTGTACAACTTCCAACAGGAGGCGCGCTGAGTCCGTCTATGTAGTCTGTGCACAGACAGTGCAGTTTGATTTGGTGATAAAGAACAGATTTGAATAAATACAAATGTGCCACTATTTTGAAATATGAAAATTTATAAACACACTTCCTGGATAAACTTTTATTTCCTACTCTTTGTTTGTTTGTTGTTTTTGTATTTCTAGCTTACAGCATGTGTGATGAAGATTGACTGACAAGCTCATCCACCAATCACAGACAAGGAGTGAAAGGCGTAAGTTCGTGTGTGTTCGCCACTTCACCTCGGCGTGTCTCTCACCGAACACCAGTCAGAGTGTGGACGAACCGGAGGAAAAGTCTGCTCCGTGGAAGTTCACGGTACAAACAGTCTGGTGTGACGTCACTGATGGCTGACCCACTGAGCGACGTCAGTTCATAACAGCTGTTGACCCACAGACTGCGGAGTGGGCTGAATGGGTCTGGACCTCTGTGCGTCCTACTGGCTGGATATCGGGTCGGATGGGATGCACGGTGAGTTTCATCTGCTGTGAGGAGGACTTTCTGCAGATGCCAGTGTTCCACCATGAGGAGGAGGAGGAGGAGGAGACGAAGGAGAAGAAGGAGAGAGTGAAGAAGGTAAGGACTGTCTCCACGGTCACGTCCGTTTACACATGTCTTCATGTTTATCACCGATTGCAAAAGAAGTTGTGCGTGTGTTTGTGTGCGCGCGTGCGTGAGTCTAGGTTCTAGTTCACAACCTGTTGCTTAGTTTAAAACTTTTTTTTAACTTGTTGATTATAAACTCATGACAGGATGATGATCGAACTGGCCGATCGGTATCGGATGAAATCTGAATCAGAACTTGAGTTCTGATTCTGATATCAACCGATACCGATCGGCAAGCCGCCCCTCTGAAATTGAAATATTATTAAGGGCCTGGTAATATTTATTTATTTATCTATCAGTACAAACCTCTGTATGAGTTGCTGGCTCCAGCATTGTACATTATCGGAGGAAAAACCGATAAATTCTTACAGATATTACACAATTATGCTAATATCGGCCGACCGATATTATTGCACATCCCTAATTTTTACTGTCCAGTAGAGTCCAGTCCAGTCCACTAGAGTCCAGTCTGGTGTATTGCAGGTCATGTGACCTGTTCTGTCTGCGGTGACTCTAACATTTGTGAATGGAGTAACCCATTCACAGTAATGAGGCCGACTGTGATCAGTCCAAGTCCAATCATGTTTGTTGTCTGCATGACAAAAACACACTGTGAGACGTTCACTTGATTCTTTCTACCTGCAGTGATGTCATGGAAATTACCCCCCCGTACCCCCCACACGCCCGCCCCCGTCCTGCACTGTGAGCCAGTGTTTTGATTGGTGTTGAATGCACCACTGTGTTTCTTAAATGTTCCACAGCCGCAGGCTTGACATTTCCTGTGTGTGGAATGTAGTGATTGACCTCTGACCTTTGGCTCTGTCTGACCCCACGACCTTCCGGGCTGATTATGGTTGACGTGTTAGTGAAAAATATGATAAACCAAACTGGCCGTGTGTCTCTGACGGCTTAGCGTAGAGGATGCATTGTTATTACCCCAGTCACAATTAGCTCCATGTTGGCAGCTCAAATCTGACTTCTGACCTTTGACCTCTGAGGTGCGTTCAGGTGCAGTTTAAGGACTTTACCACTGATAGTTAACGGCGCCGATTCACTCCTCACACAGTTAGTGTCAAATCAGTCAGGAGTGAATTTTGCACCGGGGTGTCAGACGAGGGCGGGGCTTCCCTGACTTTCCAGGATGTTAGGTACAGGTATGCGGAGGACTGAGAGTTACCTGCCGCCCCCTGCTGCATTCCGATGGCTGTGGAAACACTGCGCCCTCTGTGCTGCGTCTGACAGGAGGCCTATCGTTTCACTCCGACCTGCTGCCACTGACCTGCACAAGTGCCGCAGAACAAGAGCCTCTCTGTCTGTTCCTGTGTGGAACCGTGGCCAGTGTGTGCTTGACCCAGCAGAGGATTCTGGGTCCTCGGCTAGACTTGACCTCTGTCGTTGTACCTGTGAATGTCCACCGGGAGTTCTCTGGCAGAACTCTTCAGAAAGAATCTGTTGTTTTTTTTGATTTAATCAACTGTTTGCAGTCAGTGGTTCCTAAAGAAAGATGGAGGTTCTGATTGGTTCGTTTCCCTGACCTTCGAGGGGTCGTCGTTGTGTGATAATCTGATTAATTTCACAAATGAATTGACGTGTTCATTTTGACCATTCTATTATTTATAATGATTGTATGTATTGGCAAGAACCTGGCGATATGATATGTGTCACGATACAGAGGCAACGATACGATATATCGCGATACACTGCGATGCATGATATAATACAATAGGCATTTTGTTATATATATGGTATCATGAAACAAAATATTCTGATACTATACATATCACAAAACGATACGGATATGATATATTGCGATACTATAGGCACAGCGATATTCTGAACTTTTTATTTTCCGCAATGCCAAACTGTCGTTATAGTAAAGAGACAATGCCGTTCCATCTGAACATCATGTTACTAACATTTGGAACAGAGCTCTGTTCTCAGAGACTTGTGAGTTTGGTGATTTTCCAAACGGCCCACCCCCCCACCCCCCCTTAACTTTTGGCAGGGTGATGCTTGCATTTGCTCTTGGCACCATTGAATTACCCCCCCCTGACCCCTCCGACCCCCCCGTACACCTCTGTGGTCTCCTGGTTGCTGTGCGCGGCGTTTTGTTTTTGTTTGTTTTTCCCTCCGTTTCCTCTCGTTCACCTACAGTAGGTCAAGGGTCAAGGCCTGTCCACCCACGTTGCCAAATCATGTCTTCATCACCAGGAGAATGTTTTTCTTTGAAAATCCAATAACCCCCCCCCTCAACATGCTGCATTTACTCTGAATACACAGAGGAAGAAAGACCCCCGCTTTTTTTTTTGTCCCTCTTTTTCTCTCTGCCCCAGTGCTTATAACAAGCCAGGGCAGATCATTGTGGGGGGGAGAAGGGGGGGAGAGGGGGGAGTGGTGGTATTGTGACGGGTGTCTCGGAAATAAGTTAGCATTTTCGACATTCCATCCTGAAGGAATTTCCTTGGAATGTCTTTCCCTGGAATATGGTGCAGCAGTGACTGTAATCAGGAAATCTCAGGAACACCTGTGAGATCTTCACCGGGGGGGGGGGTCGGGGGTTACTGTGATGTGTACTACCCCAGACTGTACTGCGTGTTTGTCGTGTCACTACAGCGACAGTTGAAACTCGATAGTCTTCCAGAAAAAGACACATTCCCACATTCCCACACGCCCACCCTGATCTCACCCTCAACAACCAGACCAGGAATTTTTCATTAAGTCACTCTCTTGGACTCGTGTGTGACACGTGCCGAAAAAATTGCGCAGAAGTGCGTTGTAGTTGACGTCATCTGCAAACGTGGAGTACCGTGAAAAAAATAGTTTTTTTTTTTTTTAAGAGAAATACAAAGTCCAGATACTGCAGTTGTCTGGTTGTCAGTTGTTGTAGTTCCGCTCACTTCCTCTAGGGCTCTGTTTACTATCTCTCCTGGTGTAAACGTAATTGGACCAATCACAGGGAAGTCCAGAGGACAGACAGGACACTATTATTAGCCCCGTGCTAACACTATTTAAGGGCTCCATGCTGCAGGGGCAACTGTGTAACGCAGCAGCGCCTCCTGCTGCACGGTCCTTTTCTGGGAAGTTAATTCAATTAAAGCAGACAAAAGGCCACTGGCACCAATGAAGCTTTGCTGTCATTTAGACTCCACACACACACACACACACACACAGCCACCCAGCAGTCCGGTGTGATTTAGCCCAGTATAATACCCAGTTAGCAGCCTGGTTACCATGGTAACAGTCCGAGCTGTGGAGAAACGCAGCTTTGTGTCTGAGAAGTGAATCTTGTCAGTGTGTGACAGACAGGATGTCCCCACCACACACAGATGAGAGTACCACACACACACACACATACACAAACTTATGAATAAACGAAGACCACAACTTTAGTAGACCCAATATACTGACCTGTGTGACCTTTGTGACCCCTGTGACCCCTGTGACCTACAGCAGTAACTAGAAGTCACCGTGGGTACAGCTGAGATATGGACACGTGTTCAGAGACCATTTCACTTAATTACCCCGGGGGGCGAGGGTGGGGGGGGGGTATTGATCATGAGGGTAGTTACACGATCAGTTGCCCTTAAGGCAAGTGAAAAAATTAGTATAAATATGTATTTGCATAGTGAAAAAATTAGTATAAATATACGTATGTATTTGCCCTTCATGTGGCGCCTCTGTGTGTGTGTTGGTGTGTGTGTGTGTGTGTGTGTGTACACGTGATCCTCCATTACTATGCCAAACAACGTGTTACTGCTTCACATGGGCCAACATGTTTTTGGGTGGGCCAGTAGGGGGCAGACTGCGCCGCACGTTGTTTGCCGCGGTGACTGTGTCTGTTTTAATGCATGAAGTGGACGTTTTCTCAAACATAAGGTTTGTGTGGCCTAAACTGGGACGACAAGTGTGAGCTCATAGGACATGCTGTTCCAATTTAGACCAGGCCGTTA